CTTGATCCCAGTTTAGACACCAGAGCAAGCCACATGGCCACATCTAATTTCAAGGGAGGGAGAGAAATGTACCCTTACCATGTGCCCAGAGGATGGGGGCATATCTGTCAATGGTCCTAAAAGATTATACAGGTGGCTGCTGTGGAACTGATAGGTGACTTCAGGAGGCAGAACCTTGGGAACTCCCCTTCACACCTCTTACAGGGAACATCGACTGCTTGGGCCCTGACCCAAGCCCTTGAACCCTCTGGGGATGTCAGGCCAAGGTCAACAGAGTGCCAGAATAGAAGGCTCAGGGGCAGACACTTCAGAAAAGGAACAAGGGCTTGTCCAGACATGGAAAATGCCCACTAAGACCTTTATTCAGGATCATCCACATCCTGAATTTTCATGGCCTTTAGGTGAGTCTTCCTAAGCCCATAAACTGAGAAGATCAGAGTTGGGTGGGTCCCTGGAGCCTGGCTGCTCCAGTGTGGTCTCAGGATCCACAGCATCAGCACCACCTTCCCCTGGGAGCTTGTGAGAGACATCCGGTCTCAGGCCCCACCCAAAACTACTGAACTAGAATCTGTGTTTTACAAGATTCCCCAGGAGATGTGTATGCACATTAGAGCCTGGGAAGCATGTCTCGAGAACTAATTTAGGGCAGCATTTTCATTTCACAAATGAGGCGCTGACACCCAGAGGGGAGGAGGCTGGCCCAAAGTCACACATCTGGTTCTAATCCTGGCTCTGCCACTTGCCAGTGACTTTGAGTAAGTCACTTAAAAAATTCACTGACTCTCACTTTCCTATTCTATGATAAAGGATCCTACACTAAACTCCTAGTGCCTGTGTGGACATCAAATAAGATAGCATCTAAACAGACCTTCATAAACACCAGGCTTCAAAATCCAGGCGTCGTAAATGTCAACTATGTACTGCCATTTGATCCTGAGCTAGTTCTCAAATTGTTCCTTGGTTCTTGGCTTTAGTTTGATCATTTTTAAGTGGTCTGATCCTGTCTCATAAGGTTATTGAGAAGATCAAGTGAGTTAGTATATATAAGGTCTTTGAATAGTCTGTGGAACAGATTAAGCCAGAGATGACAAACCTATGTTTCCAAACTTCCCAGGAGGCAAGGGTGGGGGAAGTCCAGTTCAAGAGAATAATATGGGTCTTTCCCAGAGTGACTCTGCCTTGCCTCATTCAACTATCTTAAGTTCTCAGGGTTTTTGTTTTTGTTTGTTTGTTTGTTTATGAGTTCTGAAGATTGAACCTAAGGCCTCCCACATGCTAAACAAGTACTCTGTTGCTGAGCTACACTCCCAGGCCCTGAAATTTCCTCTTTCTTCCTCAACCAATGAAATGGAGGCACAAGGCTTCTGGTGCTTCCCTCAAGAACCTCTGAGAAGACAGGATATTTTGGCTGAAGACTGAACTTGGACTGCTGGCAGCTGTTTTCAAATCTTTGTAGGCTGTCAGATAGGAGAGGTTTACTTCTGGTCTGATTGATTCTAGAGGACATCTCCAGTCATTAATATTGTTTGAAGGCAACCCCAGTAGCCCCAGCAACCAGTAGTCCTCAGGTGAGTGAGCCGTAGGGTGGTGGTCTTCCTGGCTGGAAGGCTGTACTAGTCCACAGGTGCCCCAGCCTGGCTAAGCCTGAGTGTTAGAATTCTCTCAGGAACTTTTCAAATACAGATTCCCAGGCCAACCTGATCAGAACCTCTAGGGTGGAGCTGAGATCTATTTTCAAAGCAAACTCTGCCCTCCAATGGCTCTCATAGCAAGAGTGTGTGAGGGCAGGCCCAGTGGCTGGGAAAAAGGACAGAACTATTCAATGACTGGTTCCCAAGAGTCCTTACTCTGTTCCACCAACTATCACCACCCTCACCAGGGTCTGGAGACTTTGAAGACTCTAGCTTCACTGAGTTTCTGTCCTTCCCAAAGAGTGTCTGTACTCTTGACTAGAGGATAGCATAGCAACTCAACACACACACACACACACACACACACACACACTTTATTTTTGGTAACAAGGCTGGCCTTGTACTCATATTTCTCCTGCCTCAACCTCCAAACACACTCTCCAACTCTACAGTCCAATTCTGTGCTCCGCTTCTCACCTTTCAGGTGACCCAGAAAGTTCACTATGGTTTTGGAAGAGGGAAGCCCGAGAGGGCTGCGCCTGCCTCCCATCAGGAGGAGCAGCTTTCTCCCATCACACCCTAAATGCCAAGGACCATTCCTGCAACTGGGCATTCTCTACTAAGGGTGCCCCTAGACGATTCAGGTTTGGTCAGAGAAATGAGAAGGAAATACATGAATGTACATAAGGACTTTGCATATTCTGCTTCATTGGGTCATTCCCATGTTTGGCATGCCACAGGGCACTGTTAGCTCATCTCTCCTTCCAGGGAGATGCTGTCCTTTGGAATTAGCTGCCTGCGCTGGAGCAAAGGGCCCTCAACGACCCACTACCAAACGGGAGTGGCAGCCTTTTGCTTTGACTCCACAGCGCCACCTGGTGTCAACTCTCACAGCGAAGCGCCGTGCCTGCGGATACCAAAGGCTCTCCAGGCTGGGAACCCTGTGCCCCTAGCGAACCCCCTCGGTACTTCCCTCGGTTCCCGGGACCCACATCTTTACCGCCTCTCCAGCGCTTCCTGGCCTAGCTGCCTGTACTTTACAGTCTTCTGCTGGTGCCTGAGTTTTATTCCCAGAGGGTGTTTGCTGCCCCTTCCCCATCGCAGGGCTGCTGCTGGGGAAGACCCAAGGTTCCACAGCCAGCCAGCCAGAGAAGCAGGGCCTGGACGAATGGTACTGTGCTGGGCTGCGGAGTTCGCCCGTACAGCCAGCAGAGGGCAGTTTGTCTCCACCTTCGGGCCCCAAAGGCGTGTATCCTGGCCACTCCTGCTGGCCCTTCCCAGAGCAGAAGCCGCCCTCTGCACTCTGGTAGACCATGCCTTCATGCCCTGTGCTGGTGCCTGAGGGGATGCCACAGTTAAAGGAGATCTTGACCCCACCTGGAGCGCCCCAGTCAGTGCCACCTAGGACTGGTAGCTGTCCAAGTTATCTAGCACTTTCCTGTGCTCTGCACCCTGGATGCAGGTCCTGTGGGGAAGCACTGCTGCACTGGCCTGGCTAATACAAACACAAATCCTTGTAAGAGCTTCTGCTGGTTGCTTGAAAAAGTTAGTGTGGGCACATCTTCATGACTGCCGCAGAGAAGCCCAGTTCCAAGGTATGATGGTGTGCCTAAGATGAGACATAGAGCAACTCTTGGGGCAACTCTGCTTCCCAAATATGGTCTTCTCTGGACTTGGTTGTGGGGCCCTAACAGGGCAGGGCCCCTTCCCATAGCCTCCCTGGAAGAAGTGAGCTTTCTGGTTTTGACTCCAAAGTTCCTCTAGCTGAGTTTCTCACACACACGGGGCTTTCCAAGCTGGGAGAAGTTCTAAACAGTGTTGGGACCTAACTGAGCCTCAAATGCCCAAGTTCACAAAATTCCCATGTCCAGAGGTTGAGTCAGGGCCAAACAGGTCAAGGCAGTAGCATTTGGTAGTTTGGATCACTTCAGGCAGTGTGGCTGGCTTAGAAAAAGCAAGAGTGGCCGGGTATGGTGGTGCATGCCTTTAGTCTCAGCACTTGGGAGGCAGAGGCAGGTGGATCTCTGTGAGTTGGAGGCCAGCCTGGTATGAGTGAACTCTGATTCACTTCTACCAGGCTTTCTGCTGTGATTGCTCTGATTGTTCCTGCCCTATCTCCAAGGTGTAACCCATAGACAGATAACCAGGACACCAGAGGTCTGTTCTATACTGCTTTATTGACCAGATGAGAAACAAGCTTGAACATAGCCCATACCTACAACCTTGCAGGGAGCCTTGTCCTTCAGTCCCTGGGAGCATCGAGGCCCTTCCACCTGCTGCTCCTGACCTGGAGGCCTGGAAAGGACGGGGCAATGTAGCCAGAGGAGGTCCCTAGAGAAGGGTGGGATGAAAGAGGCAGGGTCTCCATTGGAGGGAGGGAGTACTGGGGAAAAAAGGAAGGGGTATTGGATGAAGACAGGCTACCCGCTGCCTTCTTCCATATTGAGTGATCAACCAGGAGGGGCTAGAACACAGACTGGCCTAGGCTATGCTGAGTCAAAAGGGGTATTGGATGAAGACAGGCTACCCGCTGCCTTCTTCCATATTGAATGATCAACCAGGAGGGGCTAGAACACAGACTGGCCTAGGCTATGCTGAGTCATGGAAGAACTGTTTATCCCAGCTGTGGGATCCAGGGTTAGGACCAGAGTTAACTACTCTAAGATTTGGACCACTGATAAATGTGAATGCATGTTCAAAGTATTTCATTAGGACACATCCCCCCCCCCCCCAACAAATAGGAAAATTTGATGCCAAAG